TGCTAATAGGAACATTCCTCTGTTAAACCAAGAACAACGCCTTATTTTAACGACATACTTTTGGCCCTAAACGAAAACGAAAGGGTTCCACATCGTCTATTTTTTATTAACGGAATTGGAGGTGCAGGAAAAACATTTCTGTTGAATACACTACTGGCTTACTTACTAGGAAATAATCACCGTTATATTGCTATGTGTTATACTGGCATCGCAGCCAGCTTATTGAAAAATGGCCAAACGATTCATTCTTCTTTTATGTTACCGGTTCCATTTCTAGAAAATTCAACGTCGAGGATTCGCAATCAGAGTACGATTGCTGATAATATTAGATATTCAAAAATTATTGTCATTGATGAAATATCTATGGTACATAAAAGTATATTCAATGAGATAGATAGAAAGACAAGAGAAATAATGAACAATGACATTCCATTTGGCGGCAAGATTATCATAATTCTAGGTGATTTCAGGCAATGCGCACCTATCGTTCCGTTGGCAGGCAAAAATGAAACTATTTCTGCATCAGTGAAATGTTCCCAACTATGGCAATACTTTGTTCAGTACGATCTTGTTACGAACGTTAGAGCATTGCCACAAGAAAACGAATTCAAAGATTGGCTGATGACCATAGGAAATAATTCCGAAATTTTACGTCGCTTAGAAAATAGCAGAGACACTATAGTTAAAATTCCTAATCGTATCATTGTAGAAGATGTTACTGAAAGCATATACGGTAGTAATTTAACTGAACACGATTTCACATTATTACAAAAAGCGATTTTGTCTCCACTAAACATTCATGTCAAGGATATCAATTCAGTTGTTTTAGAAAAACTGCCAGGTAGGTCACGGCAATACCTAAGTGTCGATAGTATTATCCGAGAAGACGATACAACCGAAAATGCTGCTGATGATTTAGATTCCGCATGGCCGCAAGACTTTTTAAATTCTTTGGATGCTCCAGGACTTCCTCCCCACATACTTACACTAAAGATTGGCGCAGTTATCATTTTAACGAAGAATTTAGATGTGAAGAGAGGCTTATGTAACGGCACACGTTTATTGATTCATAATTTACACGAAAATTTTATAGAAGCGAAACGAGTGGAAGAATCTAATAATGAACCTTCGATCGAATTTATTTCCAGAGTTGATAATATCGCTCTAAATTCTCTTGATCTACCAGTCAACTTGAAAAGGAGACAATTCCCTGTACGTCTGGCTTTTGCAATGACAATTAATAAAAGTCAAGGTCAAACTTTGAACAGTGTCGGCTTATTTTTACCAGTAACAGTATTTGATCACGGACAACTGTATGTTGCACTATCAAGAGCAAGAAGTTTTGAAAACCTCAAGATTCAAATGATAAATATAGGTGACCGTCAACATGTAGCTGAAACTCCAAATAATCACTCTTACACTGTTAACGTAGTATATAATGAGCTATTGCAAAGCAGCATAATCCAGTAAAATGAAGAGAAATAATAAGAAATTCTTTCTTGGACAAATATACAATATGGAATGTAGATATATTTCAAAGACCATTGTACTCAAGCGCTACAAATGCAAATAACATAAGGAAATAGAAAAGGTTGATCTAACTATAAAGTACAACATAAATGGTAGTGGAGGAACCATAATTTCACAAGCAAAATCATGTTACCATATGCTATTCTGTGTATTCATACTTACTACAATACTAATGGGTCAAATAAGGACTTTTATGTAAGTTATACAAAATATTTTTCACAAATATTCTTCTGAACATCTTATTGTACATTTTAATCCCTTTTTTTAGATGAATCGTTAAAAAAATAAACTATGCAAGGAATATGAACGATGAACCTACAAGCTACAAACTACAATATTAATACTGAAAAAAGGATGCATAGTTTGCAACAACAGATGGAGATAGTCCGAGAAACTTTTCAATACAAACTGCAGATTAGACCATCAACAATCTTTCCATTTTTAGCTTTATTTTTCAGTTTATTTAAAATTATACAATATGGAATGTAGATATATTTCAAAGACCATTGTACTCAACCGCTACAGAAGCAAATAACATAAAGAAATAGAAAAGGTTGATCTAACTATAAATTACAACATAAATGGTAGTGGAGGAACCATAATTTCACAAGCAAAATCATGTTACCATATACTATTCTGTGTATACAATACTAATGGGTCAAATAAGGACTTTTATGTAAGTTATACAAAATATTTTTCACAAATATTCTTCTGAACATCTTATTGTACATTTTAATCCCTTTTTTTAGATGAATCGTTGAAAAAATAAACTATGCAAGGAATATGAACGATGAACCTACAAGCTACAAACTACAATATTAATACTGAAAAAAGGATGCATAGTTTGCAACAACAGATTGAGATAGTCCAAGAAACTTTTCAATACAAACTGCAGATTACACCATCAACAATCTTTCCATTTTTAACTTTATTTTTCAGTTTATTTAAAATTATACAATATGGAATGTAGATATATTTCAAAGACCATTGTACTCAACCGCTACAGAAGCAAATAACATAAAGAAATAGAAAAGGTTGATCTAACTATAAATTACAACATAAATGGTAGTGGAGGAACCATAATTTCACAAGCAAAATCATGTTACCATATACTATTCTGTGTATACAATACTAATGGGTCAAATAAGGACTTTTATGTAAGTTATACAAAATATTTTCACAAATATTCTTCTGAACATCTTATTGTACATTTTAATCCCTTTTTTTAGATGAATCGTTGAAAAAATAAACTATGCAAGGAATATGAACGATGAACCTACAAGCTACAAACTTCAATATTAATACTGAAAAAAGGATGCATAGTTTGCAACAACAGATGGAGATAGTCCAAGAAACTTTTCAATACAAACTGCAGATTACACCATCAACAATCTTTCCATTTTTAACTTTATTTTTCAGTTTATTTAAAATTATACAATATGGAATGTAGATATATTTCAAAGACCATTGTACTCAACCGCTACAGAAGCAAATAACATAAAGAAATAGAAAAGGTTGATCTAACTATAAATTACAACATAAATGGTAGTGGAGGAACCATAATTTCACAAGCAAAATCATGTTACCATATACTATTCTGTGTATACAATACTAATGGGTCAAATAAGGACTTTTATGTAAGTTATACAAAATATTTTTCACAAATATTCTTCTGAACATCTTATTGTACATTTTAATCCCTTTTTTTAGATGAATCGTTGAAAAAATAAACTATGCAAGGAATATGAACGATGAACCTACAAGCTACAAACTTCAATATTAATACTGAAAAAAGGATGCATAGTTTGCAACAACAGATGGAGATAGTCCGAGAAACTTTTCAATACAAACTGCAGATTACACCATCAACAATCTTTCCATTTTTAGCTTTATTTTTCAGTTTATTTAAAATTATACAATATGGAATGTAGATATATTTCAAAGACCATTGTACTCAACCGCTACAGAAGCAAATAACATAAAGAAATAGAAAAGGTTGATCTAACTATAAATTACAACATAAATGGTAGTGGAGGAACCATAATTTCACAAGCAAAATCATGTTACCATATACTATTCTGTGTATACAATACTAATGGGTCAAATAAGGACTTTTATGTAAGTTATACAAAATATTTTTCACAAATATTCTTCTGAACATCTTATTGTACATTTTAATCCCTTTTTTTAGATGAATCGTTAAAAAAATAAACTATGCAAGGAATATGAACGATAAACCTACAAGCTACAAACTACAATATTAATACTGAAAAAAGGATGCATAGTTTGCAACAACAGATGGAGATAGTCCGAGAAACTTTTCAATACAAACTGCAGATTACACCATCAACAATCTTTCCATTTTTAGCTTTATTTTTCAGTTTACTTAAAATTATACAATATGGAATGTAGATATATTTCAAAGACCATTGTACTCAACCGCTACAGAAGCAAATAACATAAAGAAATAGAAAAGGTTGATCTAACTATAAATTACAACATAAATGGTAGTGGAGGAACCATAATTTCACAAGCAAAATCATGTTACCATATACTATTCTGTGTATACAATACTAATGGGTCAAATAAGGACTTTTATGTAAGTTATACAAAATATTTTTCACAAATATTCTTCTGAACATCTTATTGTACATTTTAATCCTATCAGCTACGACTTATTTACCAAAAACCATATCATATTTATAAGATATAAACAGTTTTGTTGACAAAAAATGTATGTCCATTTACGTTTTTTAGATGAATCGTTGAAAAAATAAACTATGTAAGGAATATCAACGATGAACCTACAAGCTAAAAACTACAATATCAATACTGAAAAAAGGATGCATAGTTTGCAACAACAGATGGAGATAGTCCGAGAAACTTTCAATATAAAAATGCAGATTACATCATCAACAATATTTCCATTTTTAGGTCTATTTTTCAGGTTATTTAAAATACTAAACAACAAAACAATTATTGAAAAAGCAAAACCCCACTTGATTAATGAGCATCCAATATTAGATCACAAAAATTACGAAACGCTCACATTTGGAAGGTCTAAAAATCTGGGATTATATGTTGTCCTGCTATTTACCATAATGCTAATGTAACAGAAACAGCTTGGAAAAATAAACCTTATAAAGAAGAAAAACTCGACTTAACCATAAACTGCAATATTAATGCTGAAGAAAAAGACAACTTGGAAGCAAACTATAATAGGAAAAGATGACAATCAATCATGTTTTCCCAAAAACAGATGGAAAATGCAATCTATATCATCTGCATTTTCTCCATTTTCAGGTTCTCTTTCAGTAAAATTAAAATTACAAAACAAAAGACACAACAGAAAGAAAATCCACTTAAATAGTGTTTACGCATTATATAGCAAACCATATATCTATACAATTACAGAATGGATACTAATGTCTGAAACATCTGACGTAAGTTTCTTTGATATAAGATATTGTTCTGAAAACATTCATGTACATTATTTAGTGGTATCAACTATATTTTTTCACAAACACAGATATTAAATATTTCTAAGAATCTGACATTTTAACAAAAAGTCTGCATTATAATTTTTTTTTCAGATGACATGATGGAAAATGAAATCATATGAAAAAGGGATATGATCTACCTAGATAATTTTTGCAATATGAATACTGGAAGAAGAATAACTTAGGAAACATAGTCTAATGAGAACAATAATAAACACTGGCATCATTTTTTGCGAAAATAGATGGAAAATACAATTTTCCGTTACCATTTTTTCAGTATACTTGAAATTATAGAACAAGGAACAAAAAAATCAATGAATAAATAACAAACAAGAGAGCGAAGTAACTTAGATGATACATTAAAGTTTGGTAAATGGTTTTTTTTTGGTACAAATTAAGAAGCAAATTTAATGTATGCAAGGATTATAAAACACCTAATTCACAACCATTTACCATTTGTTCAATTAAATATTTATTTACTTATTTAGATTTCCTTTTTTTCAGATATATATTATTCATAGTCGTTTTGTATTTGTTTTCAATTTTTGAATAATCAGATTTTACGTTTAATTTTTGTGCGTCTACAGTTTCATTTTTTTTCTTTTTGTAATAAGTAATTTATCATTTTATTGAAACTGAAAGACGGGTGGAAGGAGGGTGGGACTCGACTTGCAGCTACCTCCGCGCGGTGAGTCCTGGGTAGTCCGAACATGGACTAGCTGAGAGCTGCAAATTAATCCTTTTCATCTAACATTAATCAGTTACAGATCACTGTTTTAATTATTTCTGTTTAATGATGATAAATGTTGAAAATGTTGATGTGAATTCTACTTGCAACCTGTTCAGAAGTAGAAATTGTCACGCCACTATGGACGATCTCTCTACAAGAAATCAACAAATATTCCTCGCAGTCCCTGTCCGCTGTATTGATAATAAACTATAGATAAAGGATAACTTTAAAAGCAAACTTTAATGAAAACTAAAGGCAGTCAGGTAATTTTTTTTTTCCAAAAACAAAAACGAAATGCCACTTTACTAGCAATTTACTATATAATCTTGCATTTCAGATTCTTTCTACAGTATATTTAAAATTGTAGAACACATAACTATATAAAGCAAAAACAGAGTCCACCTAAATAATATGTACCCATTATTATACTATTACTATGTACAACTACAATACTACAAAATTATCACATCAACATAGTAAAATCTGATAATCAAAAATTTTATGTAAGTTATTTTAATACACATATACTCCTAGATATAATTTTATATTTAATAAATTTTTTTAGGCATTTAATATCTTCACGCTGATGTTAGATCCTAGCGAATTATACTTCGACGATGATAGAAAATGCATTCAAAAATATCAATTGTTATAAAACCTAATAGACTTTACAATGAATACATATATCATTCTTTATTATCACTTTTCCAATTTTCTTATATTAATTGTTAGCTGTAAAATCTAATAATTGTAATTTTTCAAAAATAAATCAATATATAATTGAATATCACTTGTTTAATTTCCTTATCCCTTATACTGTATATACTTTCAGCTTAAAAGAAAATTCGTCAAATTGTTTTCAACAGTCACAATTTTACGAAATATTAATATTTCAGATCACATCGTACCGCTATTAAAATTTATTTTGACAATAGAAATTTTCCATCTGCTAAAACAGATTCTGGTGTTTATTGTGTCACTAGAAGATACACTTACTATCCTCAAGGCGTACAAATTTCTTGTGAATAATCACTACCTAACTTATAGAGTAAATGATTTTCTTTTAAGCAAGGTATTGCTATACCAAGAACGAAAAATCCTTATAATTTTTAGAAATCGATTCATTGATAGTGAAAAAAAAAGAAGTAAAAATTGCTCAAACCTCATTCTTTGACGTTCAGAAGTTCTGATCTTTTTGAAAATACTTTTAAACGTATAGAATTAAAAAAATGGTAGAAGGATAGGGAAAGGTAGAAGTAACATACAGTATATAGCATTTAATTAACACACTAAAACAACTAGGCAATTAAGGGCGCTATCATCAATAGTTCCTACAATTGTCTCGTAAAACGCTATTATAACCTTCATTTTCATACTCTTTTCTATCCTTCAAAAAGGTTTATGTATTAGATTTCTACTGTTCCATATCATTGCCAGGGCTGTCCTATTGTGAGGTTGTTTTATTTTAATGATACGAAATTTCAGGCTAATAAAACATAACCTGAAAATAAAGCGCTGACACGGAACAACAGAAACGTTTCTGAAAAACTGTACAAACTATAATCAAATTCAAGCGGATAACCAAATGGAAATGGTATTTACCATTTTGGATTGGTATTTACCGATCGGTTCAACCGAGTGTAATTATCAATTTGGTTATAAGATCCGTGACGTCACGAATCAGCTGTTATATGTCATAGTTATCACCGCAAAATTGTGGTATTTACCCAACTTAAAAGTAGTTTTATATTTCTGATTATTATTTGAAATGTGACCAGTTAGAATTTTGCCGAGTATTGGATATTATTATTGTACTTCAGCTTCATTTTTGAGAACATTGATACAGGCTGACTTCAGTTTTACCATACAGTGGAGCACCTTATTAATTATACTCATTATTGTTGGGAGCACTTTAAATGTAGTTCTTATGCTTAACAAACTATCCTGTGTAGCCATATACCACAAGAATATTAAAATATGGCCATATAAACTGACTAGATGATATCCACCTGTATACGCTTTTGCTAATTTCTTTTTTCATCATTTCTGCTGAATCAATAAATGTTTTCTTTGACACGCGGAAAAATTTAGAGAATTGAAAGTGATCATAGCTTCAAAGCCATGGTTCCATCATTAAAAAAAAAATCTGAAAAAACATTTCTCCCATGAATATTATGACAGGTTTCTTATTTAAACTTTCCATATACAGTTGTAAACGAAAAAGCACCAATTATTAAGTGATAATAAAAATAATCAGAAATCATATACGCGCTTTTCTAAAATAAACAACTTGCAACAAAACCGCGGTTAAAACCAATGCGTTCAAGCGATTCGTGTAACTGACGTCATCTTGAATCATATTATAACCGCGGCACATAACACAAACATTGTGGTTATTCCCTTGGATTTGATTTATGACAATTAATAAGGTCATAACAATTGTAGAAACGATTGACACCACAGCCCTAAAACATAGAGAATAGTAGGAGATTAAAGAGGGTTTTTCTATTTTCACTGTCTATAGTCTATATTCTCCGAAGATAACAAAGATACGGACTTGGCGGCTTTTACATAAGAAAGCTCATACCTCGGATTCAAATCTGCAACTGTTTTCATCATTATTCGTTTCCATTGAAAATTTTAGATATTTTAAAATTACTCCATCAAGCGCGTGATACCGAAACATCTAAAACGTACCATTTTCGGCTTTATGACGATCACTCCATCCAATATTGGATTATACCGATAAGTATTATCCTTTTTTAGGCGTGAAAGTAAATATTTTTGAATAGATTTAAAATCTCTATATTCTAAACATACCGGACTATAATGGTAATAACAGTCAAGTACGATTTGGCAACGTTTCAATGTTTACCCGCAACTAGGCAACTTGAAATTTAGGAGTTTATACAAGTCATTATCGGCTTAAATATGATTGTAAACCCTAATTAGTGCCACAATTTTACATGACACTTAATTTTAATCCACTCTAAAGAGACCAAAAGTCTACAAGATTAAATATAGCTGTGTATTTATAACAGCCAAGTGGTTGCAACAGTCGTTACAGTTACGCGTATGTCTTGTTGCATACACAAAACACGTTACTTAACCTTATACTCAAAGAGGTGAAACTCATATGAGCGAATGGGAAACTAAGCACTACTATGGATGCACAATATGACAACCATGTCACACCTTCTAAAAATTGTCTGATTGGTCAGATTTAAATTTCCGGAAGGCTTCTTTATGGCGCTATACAAAGGGATGAAACTCATGAGCGAATGGGAAACAAAGCAGTGTTGTGGGTGCACAATATGACAATCATGTTGTACCCTCAAAAAATGTGCCGCTTATTCACAACTGACGTTGTCTGATTGGTCAGATTCAAATTTCTAGTAGATTGCTTCCTATAGCTGTGTGCTTTGCAAAAATAACCTTACTTCGCAAGCCATTTTCATTTCTTCTAACATAAACATTTCATTTTGATTGAATAACGTCCCTATTATATTATTTGAGACATGTGCCTTTTGTTCAGAATTGCGAAGTATAAACATGTAAATACCCACAGTTCTAATATATTTGTAAATACTATAAGACAAACTCCAAATCAAAACTTTAGTATTGGTAAGATGTTTCCAGTCAATAGATAGGCTTCTGGAAATGCTGAGGAAGATCAGAAATGCAGCAGTTACTCATTTGAGAAGTGTAACATTTGAAGATCATACCTGTTGAAATCTCCGTATAACTTTTTGAACAGAAGAGTTTAGCCACCGGTGTCAACCCCTGAGATCCTGAGAATTATCAGAAGCTCGGAGATTACTTGTGATCTAACCTAAAGGCACAGCTCTGAAGGAGATTTGCAAACAATATTTGTAAGTTTTTATATGACTCAATAACCAGTGATGATTTATACTGCTTTTTGTCGAAAACAGTTTCCACACTTCATTTCAAATCATCCATTCTTAGAGCAGCAGGGTTGATATGCAAAGCTGACTATAATTTCAATGCCATCCAAGCCATATGTTATTGAACAATAACATGGATGCCCACAGGGCAGTGTCAGATGGGCTATGCTCTCTTTGTAAATCCACCGGAACTTTAAATACTCCAGTATAACAGCAACTTGATATAGATATTTTGCTAAACTATGATATATTATTATTTTGGGAAGAGAACATTAAGTTTCAGATCATTATTTGAAAAGAACTTCAAACATTCAGACGTCTTGTAAACTAAACAATGCCTGGACAAATCAACTGATAATTCATAAAAATGATGGAACAGCAGAATGTATGAAATTTTTTTCTAATCAATAAAAATACATCTTTATAACATAGCTTTCTGAACAATCAGAGAACTACAGGGTGATTCTTAATGGTTGGGGGCAATCAATGTGCCCATTGATAATTTTGTACAAGAAAAGTAAGGAAAATTCCAAACTGAAGGCCTTTTCTACATTTTTTGCAGTTATAACTTGGCGCCAAGTTAGAACAGCATTTTGTTTATATTACATAACCTTCGTTATGTGCACCAGTATAATTTTTACGTTGAATAACTGTTAATAATGCTTTAATATAACTATACTATTAAAATCTATATTGTTTACGTATGATGGGTGTTAATAAAATATGTAGACATACTTTAACCATCGAATGCTTGGTCAATTTAAAAACGAAATTTCCATATGAACATGGACAGCTTTGTTTTCAACGCAAAGCATATTAGCACTAAAAGAAATATTGATGTTCTAAGAAATTATAAAAGAATAGAACAAATTTGGTGTGGTGAATACCACATAATTACAGTTGTTTTCAGATCCTCCACATACGTAGATACGGATAATGTTATCCAGTGTTTTTTGAAAAAATAGCATAACTATGATTTGTTTTAATCTCAATACTTTTCATATAATGACATTTGGGAATTAACTTTCAGAAACATAATTTTTCTTTTCATTATGTTGTATTTTCTAGGTTAGAAAAAACCTATGACATTGACTTAACATCACAAAACAAAAAGCATTTACACTGAAAAAAGAACAGTCAGTCCCGTGCTGTCCATAGGCGAACACGATTGATTTATGGCAGTCAAGCGCTTTTTTTTTTTTTGGCACATCACCTGATTGCCAGATATATATGCAACGTTGCCTGCTCCTCACTTAAATCTGAGTTTATTATACAATTTTTGTAGAGGACATAAATGCTGTATGCTATATTTTATAACGCCATCTGTGTTATTAACAACGACAGATGCGACGTTTCCGGCTCCTCACATAAATCTGAGTATGTTATACAATTTTATAGAAGGTATTTTTAATGCTATATGGAAGATGTTAACTGACAACTGATAACTCACAACAGATAATGTCAGATGTCAGATACCAGATAACAGATCAAAGATGATAAAGGATAAAAAATCATTAGAGATAGAGACAAAGTATATCATTAACATTGCATTAGCATACCAGCAACTGCACTATGTGAGGTTTTAAGTAAAGACATCAACATACAATATTTAGCATAGCGTTGGCATGCTAGAAACTGCACTACGTGAGGTTTTAAATAAAGACATCAACGTACAATATTTGGCATAGCGTTAGCATGCCAGAAACTGCGCTAGTCGACTATATTAAGCGGTGATCGATTGTT